TTTGTTCAGGTATTGAAGCTAAAGCAGAATGTGGCTCCGTTTGCACCTGGTATTAAGATGCGTTTTGTCAGCCCAATCTCAAGTGGACAATGCTAAATACAGGTGGAAACATTCTAAATCGCTTGCAGAGGTAGTTAAAAAGGTCTGCATGTTATTGGATTGCTTTCAGAATGCAAATGCATATGTGGTTGAATGTTTTGAGACTGCCACAAAAGACCATCTACTTTTTGGCCACTGACCTAACGTCTGATTGATTAAAAAAAAACCTAATCTTCATAAATGATGTAGAGTGTGACAAAATAAGACAAAATTCAAATGCAAGTAGTCAATGTTAATAGTAGTTGAATATAGTTATATGTCTTGAATGGCCATGAAAAGCACATTAATTCCAGGTAGAAACAGAACTGAACAGTGCCTCTGGTTTATTTATTTTTATTCATATAAATTCTCTTCCTGGCCACTTTATTGGCTACAACTTATGCAGAGCTCATACTTGATTTTTATTTGCATAAAGGTTTCGGGAAATTGTTCAAAATCAAAACGACATCCAGGTGGTGCGGTTTATCAAAGACGTGATCTGAGAGAATCACAGAGTGCTGTGAAATATCTTGTCATGATAAATATACTGGCCAGCAGTCGGAGAGAAGTTATAGACCACAATCTCAGAATAAATAAGCTTGCTTGGCCAGCCACAGCTGCTAAATTATTGCAAAATTATTTATTGACTTCTAACTCTTGTAGTTTGCAGAGGATCAATCATTTCCTTGTCCATAAACTTTCTTCTCCATTCTAATGCTCTGTTTGATCTACAGCCGATTTGTTTTTGCCTTCATTAACAGGCCTAAGATATTTGAGCTGGTGTACCTAGCAAAGTGGCTGGGAAATATATAAATATATTTATAAAAAATAGATATTGTGCCATCTCATTCATACAAATGTCTTGAATACATCTCGCTTATGTTTCTACTGCAACAGGATGATAAGGGAAAATTCAACTTTGATCAAACTGCTGTTCGCAATCCAGAAACAGGAGAACTGGTGAGTCAAAACCATCATAACACTTGCACCTCATAAACAATGTTACAAAGTAACTAGTTACTGTAATCAAGTTACTTATCTGCTGAAAAACTAAAGGAATGAATTACTTTTAATTTTAGTAAATGTATTTACAGTCAGTTACTGATAATGTACATTTCTTAAATACTCTTAATACATTCAACAGTTCAGTATAAATCAGTTCAGAGAAACAGTGTAGTTGTATTTTGCCAGATAAAACACAAACTGTGCAAATACTGCAAAAACATGTTTACTTAGACTAAAAGAACAACGAATATGATGCAGCATAGTGAAAAACTACCATCACAGATGTCTTAATGCAAAAAAAAAAAAACGATTAAAGGGGTGGTCCACTACAATATCCTATTTTAAACTGTAGTTGATCTGTAATGTAGCTGTGTGAACATAGACAACATCTCTGAATGTAATATACTCAAAGTTCAATGCAAAGAGAGACATTGGCTTCCACAGAGTTAGCTTAGCGAACCCTACAGCGAGCAAAGTTTGGTTAATGATGTCATAAACCCCTCAGGCTACGAGCATACACCCTGTGCAGAGAAGGGGCATGGCCTGATGCGCTGTTATAGCAGAGAAGCTTCCCGGTGACATGGAGCCGATCCGCCAATCACAGCACATTGTGTTGGCTGACCAATTAGAGCCTCTTGAGGGCGGAGTTTTGGAGTTATATGAGTTTTTTCAAGTTAGCTGAGTACCAGTATATAATCAAAGTAAGATATATGAAAAAATAATATATATATTTTTTAAATAAAGCATGAGCACACATTGCTTTGCACTTTATAAACACAAGAAAGTCTTAAAAATACACTCCGGATCACCCCTTTAATAAGCCAAACTAAGCGGACCAGATGATTTGCAGCTCCGCTTGCTCAGACGAGTGCAACAGAGATCACACAGTCCATCAGTTTTTTTTAATTGCGAAAGTGGGAAGATGTGACTGAACGAGAAAGTCGATCTGTTATAAAAGCATTTATTAGATTGTTTACCCTCTCCTTTTCAAATTTTAATCATTTGCTTATTATTATTGAATATTTAAAATGTTCAAGATGATCTCTTCTTAAGTGCATCACAGTGATACTTATATTGATTAATTATACAAGTAATATTAATTATTTACCTTTATAATTATGTTCAACTCCTGTCTCTTTCCTACTATATAATTAATCATTTTATTATCAGTTTTTTTATGCCAGTCGTCTGGAGCAGAGGGCCTATTGACCACCTCTATACACCCTGCTCTCTAGTTTAGGAAGGACTTAACTCTCCACACCAGCCTTCTCAGTCCCCAGTGAAAGAGTTTTTTCATCAGCAGAGGACATTGTAAATGTGCAAAAAGATCTTGTAAAAGAAAACAGAAAACAGATATGCTGATATTTCTTTTGAAAACTGTAAAGTCCCAGCCGTCACAGTTTTTGTTTGTATTAATGAGTCTTTAGTTTGTATTTAGCATTTAAGCAAAAAATGAAAGGGCTTTTCACCTTAAATTCCTTTCAAATATTTTTTTTTTTAAATCGTGACTAAATCGTGAATCGTATCGAATCATGAGTCTGGTGAATCGTTACATTCCTATAAACTATACATAGAAGCACAGCTATTAAACTGGACATCTCTCCTTTTAGATTTCCAGCTGGTATAAGGGCAGTGAGACCTGGGACAGCAAGTTCTCCACTATCGCCTCGTCCTATGAGGAGTGTCGAGCTGAGTGTGTCGGCCTCTACCTGTGTCTCAGCAAACAGGTGCTCAGGTGAGACCCTAAACATTGTCATTCAACAGCAATATAAGCCATTGAGATCCAGATGTTGACCAGTTGTTTTGGTTCCTCAGTATTTTCGGCCATGAAGGAGAGGACGCGGAGGAGGTGCTTTACGTAAACTGGCTAAACATGGTTCGCGCTGGCCTTCTGGGACTGGAGTTTTACACACCAGAGAGCAAAAGCTGGAGACAGGTGAGCTTAGAGACGTGTGCCTTCCCAGAAATCTTCACACTTGTGTTTGATCGTCTCCTCATGGCAGTGTTTTTGTCGTAGGCACACATGCAGGCCCGCTTTGTGATTTTGCGAGTTCTTCTGGAGGCTGGAGAGGGGCTGGTTTGTGTGAAGGAGTGCACGGGGACAGATGGACGACCAGATGCTGTCATTACGCTCGATCGCAGCAAGATCAACACAGTGGGAAAGAGTGCCATCCAGAGGTTCCTCTGTAAACTGCAGGTACAGCTGGTGGTCAGATTAGAAATGTGTTTTGCTTTACTGCCCTACAATCATTTTCCAACAGATTATTAATGTTATTAGCACTGTGCAAAATTAGTGAGTTGTTTAGAAGGTTTCATATCAGGTTTTTTTTTTTTTAGTTTTAATACAATTTAATTAGTATTATTCATTCATTAATTTTCCTTTCGGCTTAGTCCCTTTATTAATCAGGGGTCACCACAGCGGAATGAACCACCAACTTATCCAGCATTTGTTTTACGCAGGGGATGCCCTTCCAGCCGCAACCTGACCCTGGGATACACCCATACACACACATTTACACACTTACACTACGGACAATTTAGTTCATTCAATTCAACTATAGTGAATGTTTTTGGACTGGGGGGTAAACCGGAGCACGGAGGAAATTCAAAGGGAGAACATGCATACATGCTCCACACAAAAATGCCAGCTGATCCACCCTGGGCTTTAAACAGCAACCTTCTTGCGGTGAGGGGATCGTGCTACCCACTGTGCTCCTCTAAATAATATAACTCATTCATAAATTTTTTTATTAGCTTAGTCCCTTTATTAATCTGGAGTTGCCCAAGCATAATGAACCGCCAACTTATCCAGCATATGTTTTACGCAGCGGATGCCCATCCAGCTGCAACCCATCTCTGGGATAAATGATATTATATTTTTTATATTTATAAAAATCACTTATTAGAGTTAACTGAAACAAAAGTAAATATAAATATATAAAAGTTCATATAAAAGTAAAAGTTTTAAAAATTTGTCATCTGTTACAATTATTTTGTTAAAGAAAAGTCCATTTAAATAAAATAAAATACTTTTTAAATCATAAAAACACTGATTTTGGCTAGTAGGCAAGGACATGTTTCTCTTTTTCATTTAGAATCAAAACAGGCAAAAAATCCTAAACATAAATAAATGCTATAATAAAAATTATCAAACATTTTCAAAGCCAGGAAACATGTTGAAAACTGTTTATAAAAACCCCAGTATGATCTCAATGAGCTTTCACTGCTATATACGTAATTATTAGTGCTATTTCAGCATTATTCATGTACTGTTACTGCTTTGAGTTATTATATAGAATTTTTATGGTGTCCTTTTTAAGATTTTTTTAATTTTCCATTTTTTTTAACATCAATGAATTTTGAATCCATAATAATTCTACATATTGTTTTATTGCAAACGTTTTATTAAAATAATTTAATAATTGAATTCTCAATGCATATATATATATATAATATAATATAATATATATAATTTTTTGAATTAATTAATTACATTCTTTCTTTAGGGACTTGCATTCTCTTGCATTATTTAGTAAATTAATTAATTACATTCTTTCTTCTGTTGCCTTGAACTGTGCCAAAGAGCGACTGTGCCCCCACCCCTCTTCTCCTCCCTCACACTGCTTTTGCCTTCCGAACCTAAGCATGATTGTGCCATCGATAATGCAGCTGTTCAGTTTAACAGGGAGAGAAGAGCTCTCGCTCAGCACAGTGGGGATAGCTTTAGTTATTTTTATTTTAGTTGTTTGAAATGCAATGACACACAGTCAAAATTTTGCTGAACAGATCCACAACTTTTGACACTGATAAATTATCATAAAAGTCATCGTGCCTCACATATTAGGAGGTTTGCTGAAAATGCATCTGACGTGCAGCGAGCGGTTTGCATCTGTGATGAACTTTGAAAGTTTGTGTTCATTAAAAAGTAGGATTGATTATTAAATAGAAACAGCCTTTTAAAAGTGTCTTCAGTTTCGGGCTCAGGCACGCTTTGCACTCACACTACAAGCGTACCATGCCAAAGCCCAACTGAACCATGCTTTGGCACACCTCTTCCAACCGGGCCTGGGCAGGCCAACAAAACCGCACCTGGGCACAACGGGGAGCACATCTGAGCATGGTTCAGATAGCTTAGTGTCAGTGCACACTTATTTTACCTCGCAGTTAACTTTTTGTGTTTTTTTTTTCTCTCTAAGAAAAAAAAAACAAAAACCTTTTTAACAATTTAAATGAGTTGACCTTTTGTGTTTGATTGTAGGTCTACAAGTCCACAGCTGATGTAGAAGGAGGAAGAGCTTTGTATGAGGGCTACTCTGCGGTCACTTCTGATGGTGCCCACGACTTCCTGCGCCTCAGAGAAACGGTTCTTCTCCGCAAAGAAGCTCGCAAGATGTTTGTCCAGGCAAACACCTTCATCAAAGGTTTGTCTTCTTTAGCCTTCATGCTAATTCACCAACATTCTTGTCAGAGCAGAAACAGAATCGCATTACACAGCACGTCATGCTTTTGCCAAGTACGATGGGATCCTTAATTAACATCTGTGTTGATCCTCGAACACCAGGTAACATTCCCTACCCCAACACCCAACCATAACTGTAAATTATTCCCAAAATCAGAGGGGAATAATAGTTGGATAACAATCACATTGAAATGCATAAGCCTAGACTTGGCATTACGGTTAATGTATCTCTTAATTCTGATTGGCTGATTGGAATGTTGTTCCAGGATCAACATAGAGGTTAATCTAGGAACATGTCATACTTGGTGAAATCAGGTTGGTGCATCTGCACAAGGATTAGCATGCTGTTGTTTGTACTGTAGATGACGCTGTGGAGCTGATTGAATATGAGGGCAGCGCTGAAGGCCTCATCCAGTCTTTCATCGAGCGTTTCCCTGATGACAGCGAGGAGGTGGACGCTCAGCTGCTGGAAATGACCCGCAAAGACTCCCTCTGCTGGTGCTAAGAGGACACTGTCATATTTTGGACGACACCGAGCTGCAGTAACTTCCCGTAATGAACAAAAAAGGCCGGAGAACACATAAGACTGGTAATGATTCACACATAAGAGGAAGGAAAAGCCGCTCTTAAGTTCAACCCCGGTGTTTTCCATCCCACAGTTCTTCTTTCTATATCGCTATTGACTTTAAAACAAAAGTAACACTGATTAGAGTTTTAATTAGACATTTCTGTTCCTGCTTCAGATCATCCCACGCTTCCCACACAGGCATGCCAAAGCTCCGACAGGAGTGAACTTGCTGTGTGAGGGAGGGATTTATGTAATCGCAACACATAACATACTTTCTCAACTTGCTCTAAAATGGAAACACGCTCTGCAGATCCTATCTAGTGTGGAATTCATCTGATTCACTGTTTTCTGGGAGAAACGATAGCATTCCTTCTAAGAAATTAAAAATCTGTGTTGGTTTACGCGATTTCAGGTTTCTCAAAAATGAAATGTCAAATTGTTCAGTGTGGACGGTGAATACCAACAGTCCCTACCAAATAAAACCAATTACTTCTGAAGGTATTGTTTTTGTTTTATTTGCAAAATATGAAAACATTCGTACAATACTTTTTATATAAATAATATCATAATACAAGGTAGACAACAGATTAAATATCCAGTCACTCAATACTGATGTTATATGAATGAGAAATGTCCACAATTTGTTAGACACATTTTTTTCACTTCAGAAAAAAGTAAAGGAAGTATAAACGCTTGAATTGAATCCAATCATTAATAACCAAGCTATAAGAAGAGTACAAATAAAACAACAAAAGAAATGACTGTATTAATGAAATAAATTAACTCATTATTTTCATACACAACACCATCAATAGAAATACTAATAAAACAGGGTCATTTTTTTCCCATCTTACAGTTCAGACTTTTGAAAGTAAGGGGGATTTTTGCAGTAGTGCCATTGAATCATTTGTTTCTGAGAACTAAATGTGTCATGAAGATTTTAATGATGGACATAACATTTTGTTTTGTAACCAACCATAAATGGCAATGAAGAATCTTTATGAGAGTGTAAACTTCAACCCTGCTTACCCCTGATATTAAGATCTGTTTTAGTTGATAAATAGACGAGGGAGAAACATTCCCGTTTACATGGAGCAAAACTGTGCAGAGCTGTGGCACTCCAGGAATCACGTTTGAGACCTGTGGTCTACAGTCATCAGTTTCTATGAGCTTCAAATATTTTGATCCAGTATTTTAAAATGTAAAAATTTACATACTAACATGAAAGGAGTCAACAGAAATTGATGCAAAAAAAAAGTTACAATTTTTGCACCATCAGCAACAAAACTACACTAAATGCTGTGGAAAGCCTTCACAGTTAAAAAATAATAATATAAAATAATTATATTTTTTTAAGTTAATATGCTTAGTTTTAAGAATATATATAAGCTAGTGTTCTCCATAACTGTCAAAATTTGCATTTAGCTTGCAGTTTGTTATAAGATATGGGAAAATTCACCTAAATGGGTCAATTATTTTTTTCCCCCTATACTTCAGTATCTAAAATGCCCCACCCCCATCAAGATGCTTCTTCTTTGTGCTTAAGCTCAAAATGCTATTGGCTGTTTTTTTTTTTCAGTTGAGATTACGTTAAACATTGATTGAAAATACACAATTCAAAACACTTTATGGGACATTTAGGTCCAATCCCAATTCTACCCCTTAGCCCTTCCCCCTTATTCTCGTCTCAATTTTCTTTAGCTTGAAGGCATAGGGCTAGGGGGAAGGGGCAGATACCCCTTCGAATGGAAATGTTTCAGGACCACACTCAAAACCAAGGGGTAGAAAGTTTCCCAGAATACACCAGCCACAACGGCAGCATAGCTGCACCCGGAAGTATGATATCCACAAATTAGTATTTTTTTTTGTCATTATTATGATTTTTTACAACAAACAAACACGTTTTATTACAATTATAACCGCATTCATGTTTTACTGTCATGCTTAAAAAAACACTGCTAAATTTTTCCATCTATAATCCATATTAATAACTCTTGCTGTCCCATTTCTTAAGGGTAAATTTTAAAGGGGTGGGGGTACAAAAATAGAATTGGGATTGGGCCTTAGCCCAAAACTGAATGTATGATTTCAGATGACCGTTTAAATTGAAATGTTTCTACAAAATGTTGAGTAATGTGCAAATTTAGGTCAGTATATGGAGTAGCAGCCTTTTTTGTATGGTCTCTTTTCTTTTTCTATTATGATAAGGACAGTATATTGATTGGGAAAGGTCCACAAGTTAGGATTCCAACTCTGGACGCAGTTCCGCTACATGTTGGCACACTGACCACTGACTAGGCTATAACACTAACCATAACCCTAACATCGATTGGTGTCTCTTTAAACACATTAATGCACTAAAAATGTTTCAGACTCTATTAACTCTTGGGATCAACAAAACTGCATCTTAATATTAGGTTTAAATAGGGGCAATCAACATGAAATAAATTAAGTGAAGAAAAAAGCTCAATTGTTTTTGAGCTCTGTTATGAGCTTATTATGATGATTTCATCAGCCGTTCAGTAGGAAACTGTGTGCTGTATGAAAGGATTTCTTAGACCTACATGTGGTGTCTGAAAGAAAGTCCCACATTATGAAGCCTCCTCTGTGAGATCCACCGCGCCCCTTCTGTTCAGCTTCTGGGATCTTTCATCCTGATGGGACGCCTGGTAAATTAGGGGAACGCCACTCACACCCATGCTCTGCAGGTCTTGAATGTGTATGTCAGGCGAAAGAGGTGTTAAAACTCCATCTCTCCTGCAGTATAGGCTGTATTCCTCCGCTTTGTCCACTCCAAACTTCACGGCACAGAGCTGGGCCATAGCCTCACCATTGAATGCGGTCTTCCACATTAGGGTTTTCACCACGCTGTTGTCGCCATCTTGAAACAGCACCTTTACGAACTTCTGTGGCATAAAAACAACACAAATATCTTTTTGTTAGCTGTTCTGCTGTAAATATCAGTAAACCTTTAAATGTGGATGAACTCTAGTATTTCTGACCTGGTGCAATCTGTTGTCTTTCTGATTTGTGGTTTCGTTGCTTCGACGTCGGCTCCATTCTTTCAAAGACTCTCTGGCCTGGTTTGTTAGGCCGTTGGGTGGCAGATCTTCTGGCTGACTCTGAATCAGACTCAGACTGGCATAAACACTTGTCAGATAGTAACCCCCTTAAAGATAAAAATAATAAATGTGTTATTTTTGGTTTGGGAAGAGAACAACTGAATGTACCATAGTAAAATAGGTTTGTCTTAATGGTTTTGAGGCTAAAAAGTATTTATCCCTACCTTCTCCTGTAAGCCAAGAGCTTTCCAACAGCTCCATCATATACTCCACTTCCAGCAAGATCTCTGGCATATTGCACAGCACCATCGCGTAGGAGAGAGCAGGCAGGAAGTCATCTGCTCCAAATTCCTGACCTGTTTTTAGGAATATTAATAAGAGTTAGATCATGGCAAAGGTCCACATAAATCTACAGAACATACCTGTATAATAAATCTGCCAACAAACAACATGGAACCAATATCTTGAACTATATTGTTGAGTCATCTCAGTTGTTAGGTCTGCATTGTCTCTCTCTTGCAATTCTAAACAGGTTGTAACATAGTAATTAGGGTAGAAAAGCGGTCACTGGGGCGGTACTTTTTTAAAAGGAACATTTTTCGTACTTTAACGATACATACTAATACCTAAACGATGGCAATTACTACCTAAAAGAGCCGTATTGGTATCTTAAAGTACATATTAGTATTTTGAATGGGTACAAGCGTGTGACGGTGATGGCTTTTGTACAATACAACCAGCCTTGGTCAGAGAAGGAGTCCTCACTAAAAACGTATCGAGGGGAGTCTGAGGTCTCTAGAGCTCCCCTAAATTCATTCTTTCGGCCTGTTCATTAATTATTAGAGTTTGTGCATTGAAAGCTTAGTACTAAATGCTCATAACAGTGCCAATTTGGTTTATTCAATTCACTTATACTGCATGTCTTTGGACTTTGGGAGAAAACCCACGCGAGCATGGGGAGAATATATAAACTCCACACTGAAACACTAACTGGCCCTGTTGGAACTGGAACCAGCGACATTCTTGCTGTGAGGCAACAATGCTAACCACTGAGCTGCCCTGCCACCCTATCCTGGAATAACCTAGGAAAAATCTAAGGGTATTCTTCAAGATAAAGATATCTGAGGTTAGAAAACTATGGTAAATCATGTGATAATATGGTACCAGCTCTGGTCAATCATCAGCATGTGATCCTCTCAAAGTTTATCAATAAACTTCACTTCAAGAAATCCTTACCTGATTTATTTTTCATGGCTTTGTAAATGAGTTTGCAGGTCTGCAAAAGCAGCAGCACTTTGTCAATGGGTGAGTAAGCCCGTTGCATTAGAGTCAGTTTGTGTTTAATTTTCTCAATGCCTTGGGCATCAGGAACACCTGCTTGAACCCCAAAGAGATTTTGGGGTGAGGCGGCTTTGGCTCTTTGCAAGCTGTCCATCATTCTCTGGAAGGAACCATCTTGTTTGTGCAGAGTCAGAAGAGCTGCATCAATCTGAGGCTTGAGAGGCTTTAGAATACAGCGAAACATGGCCTTCTCCAGAGCTTGGTCTGGAAACAAGAAAATATAAGGTTATACTACTGCCCGCCATCTAGAGGTAATCAAAATGTTTTGGCTTCAGTTTTCAGGATGTGAATACTTGGCATAAATACCTTTCTCATTCTCAGTCAGAAGAGTCTCAATGGGAGGTTCAAGCTCTCCACACTCCAGAAGGAAGGCTTTGGCCTGATTGATGAAAAGACGCAAATCCTGCAGCAGCTGAACAGCAGAGGTCAAGCAATGGGGCTTCAGAGCCTCTCTCTGCTGCCTTAGGAAGTCCTGAACCAGAGCGCCAAAAGCCATGCGGCGATCACGGGACAGGTCCTCCACCATCCGTGCCACTCGTTTCTCTGGGGCAAAAAAGGATATGAAAGCAGCGCTCATCTTGCGTAGGGCGGACATAGCCTTCTTTGGAGGAGGCATGACGGGGTTACTAGTGCCTCGAACAAGCGGAGGACGCTCTGGACTCTCCTCCATCTCATCCAGGCTGCTGAGTGAAGTGCTGCTGTCCAGTTCACTGAGAGACGGAGCGTGTTGCTGTTCCAGCACCAGCCCTTCTTCCTCATCTTCACAGACTTGTTCTTTCTGCTCCATGACTTTTGGCGGTGCCTAAAAGTGCAAGCATACTGTTAGTAAACGCAGAAAAAAGGATTAGCGCTACTTTTTGCCATGTGTTATGAAACCCTGCTGTTGAGCAGAGTTGGCACCACTTTATTCAGAATTGGAAAGTCTCAGTACCTTCAGAAGAGAGCTGGGCATCTGATAGTCATCTTCAGCAGTAGGAGAAAGAGTAGGTGAGACCATTGTCTTCTTCTGTAACACTACACTTGGTTGCAAATAATCCGTGGCTTCCTGTTCAGTGTTCTTGTTAGCTTCCTGACCAGCCTGAACACCAAC